GGTGGAACGTAGTACCAAACATGGCTCTAGGATAAGATCAAGGGAGCTATGTTGAGATAAGATCTTTTTTCTCTTGCTTGAAACTTGCTTCTAATGTACTGTAAATTGTTTATTTTATTGTAATTTATTGTTTTAATCATTATATTGTTTTAATCTGGCACTTAGTGCCCTGTAAGCCGCCCTGAGCCTTCGGGGTAGGGCGGGGTAGAAATTCAAATATAAATAAATAAATATAAATAAATAAAATAAAATGTAGGCTAGCTCTAGGAATTGTCAGAAATTCTATGGTAAAACCATAGAGTTTCTGCCGATTCCTAGAGCTATCCTATGTCACTTCAGGGTTTTCCCTGAAAGTGATGCAGTGATGCAGTTGACATTGCTGGTTGGGGGGGGGAGTTTTTCCTCGCACTGCCACTTGGAGCAGTAATGGGCAGCTAGGGCTGCTGCCCAGAGACCTCCCGCCATAGTGAAAAGCCTGGCAGCCCTAATCCGAATGCCGTTCTTTAACCATGTGCTGGGGCCTTAGAGACTTCATAAATTTTCCTAATCGTGCTGCCTGCTCTCTGCCAGGAGTAGCAAAAAGCAAGGTTTTCAAGCACCTGGCAGGCCACAATACATCGCTGCTGAGTTACTTCTTTGTTTGGGAGGTCACATGCAGGCCTGCCATAAGGCCAAATACCCATTTAAAGTTAAGGATCTGTACAAATGGAATGCCACTCACTCAGGTCTCAAAGAGACAGACACAATGTACACCACCCTGACATGGGAGGGCGGTTTATAAATCAAACTTAATAAATAAATAAATAAAATCACAAAGCTAATGTACATCATTAGTTAACTGTACTTGCAGATAGCAACTGAAAGCGGAATGGGCAAAAAAAAAATTCTAGGAGATCCAGGAGTGAAATGGAATGACCAAAGCACTACAGAACAGTGCACGTACTAAGATCTGCAGAAATCCAGATGTGCAGCCTTTGCAGAAGAGGAACCTCTCTGTAGACCTTTGAATCCCCAAAGACACTAAGTAAGACCCTAAGCAGAGTCATACCCTTCTAACTCTACTCAGATCCTTGTTAGCCTTGTTGCCAGATCTTTGTTAGTCCACTTCACTCAACCTTTTTGAGCCTATGGGCACCTTTGGAATTTTGAGAAACGGTGGTGAGCCCCACCCCAAGATGGCTGTCACAGCAGGCGAAGGCTGCCAACTCTGGTTTGTGAAATTCCTGGAGGTTTGGGGGAGGTGAAGCTTGGCAACAATGAGATCTGGGGAGGGGAGGGACTTCAGTGGGGTTTAATGCCATAGAGTCCACCCATCACAGCTGTCCTTTTCTCCAGGAGAACTGATCTCTGCCATCTGAAGACCAGTCATAATGCCAGGAGATCTCCAGGCCCCACCTGAAGGTTGGCAACCCTACAGCAGGCAGAGCCAAACAAGAAGTGGCTGCCTCAGGAGACAGAGCGAAACGCAGTCCCTCCCTCCTCACTTTGCAAAAGAAGAGCAGAAGGGAAATGAAGGAAAGCCCAAGGGGGGGGGTAGATTTGGGAAGAAAAGGAAACAAAGGAAGGCCTGGGGGGGGGGGGGGGAGAAAGTAAAATGGGAATCAAAAGGAACATCTGAAGGGGAAATGGAACCATAACCCCGGCTGTTTACCAGTAGTGTTGAGATTCCAGTGGCTGCAGCTCCTGTTGTAGCTATGGAAAACTCTTTAATTTAGACATTAGCAGCCAATAACCAACCCCACGTTACAATGGCCCCACTCACTTCCTGAAAAGCTCAGTGGGCCCTGGGGAAAGTACTGGCAGGCACCACAGTGCACAAGGGCATCACGTTGGGGAATGCTGGTCTAGTCTACATCTAAGACACTGCTCCAGAGTAAATAATATCAGGATTCCACTCACAAACTGTGATCTACAAACCATTCTTTATTTATATCATTCCAAAATGTTCATCTTTTCTGAATGCATGCCAAGTTCCAATTCAGAAAAACAGTTTTGTTCTGGTTTTTTAAAGAGCCTAAAGCCTGTTTGTTGAAACACATATAGAATAGGCATGCATCTAACTATTCTGCCACAGTTCTCCATATTTATATGTAACCATTTACTATGTTATGGGCCCCGGTCACACGGGCAGGAAACTGCGGGGGGGAAGCATGGCAGTTTGCCACGGGGCAAACTACTGTGCGGTGAAGTGATCAGACCTCCCGTGGAGGTACCGTGGAGGTACCGTGGAGGTTCCATGGGAAGGGAGAGGTGCAGATCACATGACAATCCCACGCGCAAAAAAGAAGCGCGCGGTGCGGCAAACTGGTTTTTTTTCCCGTGTACACCGCGACTGCGCATGCTCCGTTGGGTGCTTGTGCGCATCCACAGAGACTTGGGGAAAAAAAACTTTTTTGCAAGGGGACATGGGCGGGCGCCGGATGCCTCCGGAAATGCGATCAGACGCCTGCCCTTGCCCCGCAGTTTCCGGAAACTAGTACCTCCGAGGTACTAGTTTTTTGCTGCGTGTTTTCGGCGGGAAGCCTCGGTTGCGTCACGGAAGTGCTACGCTTCCCAGATGTGCTGGTGAGATCGCGCCCGGAAACTCCGCTTGTCTTCCATCGCTCTAGCGTGGCTAATGCTCCGTGTGACCACGGCCATGGCCACTTATTCAAAAGGGCATGAAATCACACAGATCCAATCATGTGTAATGTCCAGGTATACAGTAAAGGTGGTTGTCTTGTTTACTAAAGATTCATAGCAATCAGAAATGTGGAGTAATGAGGATGTGATAAAAATTGGCTATTCACATAGTTTGATGCTCCACTGTGTGGTTGCTTGTGTTCACCTGACAACATTACAAGTCGCCAACAAAATATGTAACAAGACAGTAACCTCTAGCCACACAGTGAAGGCTCTATAAACACCTTAAGATCTGCATTCATTAAAAAGAGAGCTGCTTAAATGCAAGGACTCTGGAGATTCCAGGACTCCAATGGCTGATCAAAGTTTGGAGTTATTGCCTCCAGGGCATGATTATAATAACATTTACACTAGTTTAATAGCACCTGTCTCCCAGCCTTGCTACCAGACTCTGGGGAATTGCTGCTGGGTGTGTGTGGTGGTGAGCATAGATTTCTCCTACAGCATTCTCAGCATCCCCAACCAAATACAATTCCCAAGCTTCTTCATAGGAAGCCACGACAAACTAGCAGAAAACTGAAATTGTCTCAGATCTGCCCTTAGTTAAAAGATTCTCTTGTCCATATATCTGAAACTATGAAATAAATGTAATAGATGGCAAATGACCTTACAGAACAAACTCTGACTTTTCAGCAAGCTTCAGGGCCTCATGCATTCCTGAAGCTGATAGCTTACGGTTGATATTCCTATATCTGCACTGCAGCAGATTGCGATAGGTGGTCCTCAGGTCCCGGTTGAAGAAAGCATATATAAAGGGGTTGATAAGAGAGTTTGCATAACCCAACCACAGGAAAGTCCTCTCAACCCACAACGGGATGCAACTGCAAGACCTTCCACAGATAAAGGGTCTAGCAGTGGAAAGTATGAAAAAGGGCAGCCAGCACACGGTAAAGGCCCCAACAATAATCCCAAGGGTGGTCGCAGCTTTCTGCTCCCTTTTGAAGATGGAAATGTTCTTCCGTTCGTGCTTAAGCAGCCGCGAAAAATTTGTGCATTCTTCTGACTCCTTGTGCAGTTTGACAATGCCATTTGCAGAAACAATCCCTTCATTTTCTTCAGGCCGTGGGAAGCCAGCAAACTTGTGTTTGGCAGCACTCTTCTTGGCCGCCTTGAAGATCTGATAGTACATGAAAAGCATAACTGACATGGGAATGTAGAAAGCAACAGCGGTGGAATAAATCGTATAACCAAAGTCTTGGCTTATTAAACACACTTTGCCATCATTGATATTTTGAGCCCAGCCGAAGAGAGGCGGCAAAGTGATGGAAGCAGACAGCAGCCACACGCAAAGGATCATTTTAGCCATGCACTTCCCGTTTTGCCTTACGGGGTAGGTGAGAGGCCTGGTTATACCAAGATACCTGGAAAAAAGGAAGAAAGAAAGAAGGCTGAGTTATGACATAATTGAGGTTTGTTTGTGGACAAAGCCACGTCTGTTTTAAGCTGCAATGGGGAAAATCATACAGACCGAAAAACAACTACAAATTATTTGATCTGTTGAAACAAATGAAATAGTGTCGTGTGTCTACAACACATTGTTCCTAGGCCGACAGGCTGATAGGGCAGGAGGCCATGTATAAAATGATTATTAGTGTGTACTGATTCAAACTATGTTATAGGTAACAATAAATTTTCTTAATTCAAAGTGCTTTACAGTAATGCTTTCCAATCTAACAAAATACCCTGCAGCAGGCCTTGAACATTCCCCAAATAAAAAATTAAAATCAGATGTGTGTCAGACTAGCTACATAACGAATGGTAAGTTTCACAAAAGAGCAGCTGGGGTGAAAATGGATTTCAATCAGTAGAAATATGCATTTGTGTATATTTTGAGTCTAGCATGACTAGAATTCTTGGCTTTGTCCCCAGGCAGGTTTCTTTACAGTGCTCAGGCTTCTGCCCCAACCTAAGTTTCTTTATTTTATTTATCTATTTTTCGCATTTATATCCCATCCATCCCATAGACATGCTCAGGGCGGGTTACATTTCAATAAATACAATAAAATTTAAAACACATTATAAACATATAAAAACATATAAAATCAATAATCACGGCTTGCCATAGGGAGAAACCGGCCCACTGATGTGGGTGAGATATAGCAACCTTGGGGTGGACAAGTGTGGATGCCTGCTACCTCAGCCAAAGGCCTGGTAGAACAGCTCCGTCTTGCAGGCCCTGCAGAATTGAATAAAATCCCGCAGGGGCTTGATCTCAATAGGGAGCGTGTTCCACCAGGCAGAAAAGGCCCTGGCCCTGGTCGAGGCTAGGCGGACGTCCTTTGGGCCCCGGGATCACCAGGACATGTTGACTATCAGAGTGTAACACTCTTCGAGGTGTATATGGGAAGAGGTGGTCCCTTAGGTGTGTTGGTCCCAGGCCGTATAAGGCTTTGACGGTGATTACCAACACCTTGAAGTGGATCCGGTACTCAACCGACAACCAATGCAGCTGACAAAGCACATGCTGAACGTGAGCCCGCACAGGCGTCTATGTCAGCAGGTGCGCCACCGCATTTTGTACTAGCTGTAATTTCCAGATCAGCTTCAGGGGTAAGCCTCCGTAGAGCAAGTTGCATTAATCAAGTCTGGAAATGACCATTGCATGGGTCAATATGGCTAAGTCGTGGGGAGAGAGATAGGGCTTCAGTAGCCTGCCTAAGATGGAAAAATGCAGATCTGGCGACTGCAGCAACCTGGGCCACCATAGATAAGGAGGCATCCAGTGTTACTCCCAGGCTCCCCACTGACTGGGCCAGCACCAAAGATGTCCCTTCCAGTGTGGGAAGCCTGGTGCCCACTTCCATACCCCCACAACCCAGGTACAGGACCTCCATCTTCAATGGATTTAACTTCAATTGTCTCTGCCGCAACCATCCAGCCAAAGCGTCCAAAGCCTCAGCCAGATTTCCAGGAACGGAGGATGGGTGACCATCCATTAACAGACAGAGCTGAGTGTCATCAGCATACTGATGGCAACCCATCCCATAAATCCGGACTAACTGGGCGAGGGGGCACATATAGATGTTAACATTGGCGAGAGGATCGCCCCGTGCAGCACTCCACATTCTAGTGGAGTTCTATGTTAGTACTGAGATGAGTATCCTATTACACATTCATTGGCTAGTTCTCACCTACTATATAATGCTACTGATTTCACGTGCCTTCCCACAAGCATATCGCAACAGATTAAAATGTAGGTTGAACCAGTGCCACCTGTTATCATTATTTCACACCACCCCACTCTGGCCAAAGGATCAAGCTGGATTAGGACTGCCAGCCCTTGGCTGGCAATCTCTGAGAGCATGGGGGTGGGCAGAACTGCTGGACATCACTTCCTGTTTCAGAACAGAAGGTGACATCAGGACACTCCAAAGATTTTTAAATACCTATGGCAAAACAGTGATTTGGAAATTCCTAGAGCATGCCGACATCACTTCTTGGTTTGGAACAGGAAGTGATGTCATGATGCTACAGAAGTTTCCAAACTCTATGGTTTTTAACAATAGAGATTTGAAAATTCCTAGACTGTCATGATGTCATCTCCTGTTCTGAAACAGGAAGTAATGTCCCAGCAGCATTCCCCCCCACCACTCCATTAAGCAATGGTGGGGGACAGGGTGTATCACTGGGAGGGCCTTCTCCATAACCTGGTAAATGGCAACCCTCTGCTGCACCAGCAGCCAAAGCGAGTCTGGTCGTACCCCCCTCTCACACACACACACACACACACACACACACACACACACACACACACACACAGAGACTTCCAGGTCAGATTCAAGTGCAACTAGATTAGGATAGCCTTCTCTTGCCAATTCTTGCAATTTCCAGGTTACCTTCCCCTTCTTGCCCTTTTGCCTTTCCTTCACCTTTCCCTGCCCCCTTCTCCGATGCCACGATACTCATAGTTAAGTAGGAATCTAATTCAAGGTCTTCTAATGCTTCATCCACTGCATTACACCAGTGTTAGTCTACTAAAGGTTTAATTCCCACCTGAATATTACTTTTGTACAGCTTTCTATCAATATGCAGTCTGTTGATGACTTTCCCATATACAGCTATGTGCTAATGATGTATATTTGGTTATTAACAACTTCAACAACAACAAAACAGATATCACTGTTATACACTCCAAATTGGGTGCTGGTTCACTGTCTTGGGGAGGACTTTGTTTGCTATTCTGATCTCTGGAGCCGCAGCAGCTAAGCACAGGGACAAATGTTTTGCTTGCATACCACAATCCCAGGCAGGACTGCAGTGGCGAACCTACATTTTTGGGACCCTGAAGCTTGAACTGTTATGGGGGCCCCTTCTCAAACAGGCAACAATAGGGCAACATCCAACAAGGTTCAAAGGGCCTTGCTGCCCTTGCAAGGACCTCAAAGTCGAAATGGCGGTGAACGGAGTGGTGGGGTGGAGCCCTTGAAAATGGCCCAAAATGTAGGCTATGAATAGATTTTGGCAAGCTCAGCAAGCCCATACACCTGGGGGTTCAGTTGCTGCAAGCCCACAAGAAAATTTTGAAATTTGACCGATCACAGGGACATTTTGAGGCCATATGAAATGGGTATTAGAGTGTATTCTAAAGTCAGTATTAAGTACTTCAACCCATTGGCTTAGGATTCTGTCACTAAAATAGCCTTATTTTAATAACAAACGCTTTTTTAAAACTCCATCAATTGTGTTGGAAAAGTCACTTATTAAAAAAAAAGTTGCTTCAGGGCCCCTCCAAGATTAGGGGCTCTGAAGCTTAAGCTTAATTTGTTTCATAGTAGATCCACCCCTGCAGGACTGCAGACTGGGTGGTGGAGGGGAGATACAGGTAAATGTTATACCCTCTCCCCCGGATAGGCAGCATTACAGGCTAGGGTGGTAAACATTTTGCTTGCACAGACACCAGGAATGGAGCAACCTCTCAATAATGCATGCGGTTACACCACAAAATGAGTAACAGAGAAAGAGAGAGAGAGAGAGAGAGAGAGAGAGAGAGAGAGCGAGAGAGAGAGAGAGAGAGAGAGAGAGCAAAAGACG